TTCTGCTTTTAGGCTCTTTACCACAATGTCATCGACATATACCTCCAGGTTTTTGCCAATCTGGGCGTGGAAGACAATGGTTACCATTTTCTGATAAGTAGCACCTGCATTCTTTAAGCCGAACGGCATCATGACATAACAATAAATTTCATCGCCAGCATAGAACGCGGTTTTCTCTTCGTCTTCTAGAGCCATTGGCACCTGGTGATACCCCGAATATGCATCCAAGAGGCTTAACCTCTCATTGCCTGAAGCCGCTTCAACTAGTTTGTCAATGCTCGGCATTGGATAGCAATCCTTGGGGCAAGCGTTATTAAGATTTGTGTAATCAATACACATTCGCCATTCGCCATTTGCCATTGGCCTTCTTCACCAGAACTGGGTTAGCCACCCATTCGCAGTAATCAACTTTCCGGACAAAACCAGCTTGTAGGAGTTTCTCTACCTCTTCTTTAATGGCCTGAAGCCTCTCCCCCCCGAAGAGACGCCGCTTCTGAGCCACTGGTTTCTTCAATGGGTTGGTACTGAGTTTATGTTGACATACTGAAGTTGGAATTCCTGGCATATCTGCCGAAGTCCATGCAAATACATCATTGTTAGCTCGGAGAAAAGCTATCAGTTTTGCTCTCTCCTCCGGGTTCAATCGAGTTTCGATCTGTGTTTTTCGGCTCGGATCTCTGTCATCAACGAGCACTTCTTCAACATCTTCGATTGGAGCAGCTCTGGTTTCATCTTTCGATCGATTATCGACGATCTCTACACCCATGACCTGCTGATTATCATGAATTTGCTGGGGAGTGACCTCGGGTGTTTTATCTTTGCCCTTCGTTGGTTGTGTTACCGAGGTGATATAACAGTGTCTGGCCACCTCCTGGTTTCCTCGCAATGTTGCTATTCCCATAGGAGTGGGGAATTTCATGCAGAGATGAGATTGGGAAACCACAGCTCGGATTTCGGTCAATGTGGGTCAGCCAATAACAATGTTGAAAGAAGAGGCCATCTTGACAACGAGGAACCGGACTGAAGGGGCTACATAGGTCTGACCACTCCCAAAAGCCACATGGAGGGTAAGAACTCCTTCTACCGAAACAGGTTGGTTGTTGAAACGATAGATAGGACCATCATACTTCTGCAACAATGCTGGATCTAATCCCAGACTCTCGAAACAGTGGAAATACATGATGTCTGGTGCACTCCCGGTGTCAACAAGGACACGCTGTACTTCACAGTTGTTAATCATGACAGAAGTGACCAAAGGATCATTGTGGGGCGTAACAACTGTATCGAATCAGCAGATGTGAAAGTAATTGGTTGATTCTTCCATTTAGCATCGTCAATGTTCTGCTTCTGAGCTCGGTTTTGATGTTTAACCTCCCTGACATATAGCTTTCGCTGCTTAGAGCTTTGTCCACCTGCTTCAAGGCCTCTCGTAATCATATGTATGATTCTAGCAGGTGGTGGGAGTGGAGGTGGGGTTTGTTGATATCCCACACCTTGCCTATTTGGGGGATTGCGGGCTCCTTGAGGCTGCGGCCTCTGTTCTCTGACAAACCTTGGCTGTTCAGCTCGCTGTACATACTCATTCAGCATTCCCTTCTGAGCTAAACTTTCCAGCTCAGACTTTAGACTGTTACACTGCTCTGTAGTATGGCCGTGATCCTGGTGAAAATCACAATATCTGGTATGGTCTCGACTAGCAGCAGCAGTTCGCATTGGGCCGGGACGTCTTAAGTCCATCTTATTTTTGATCTGCATAAAAATTTGTGACCTCGGCAAATTAAATGGAGTCCAATTAACTGGAGGTTTACCTGCAGATTGTTGTGGAGGCATGGAGTTCGGCCTTCCGAATCTCGATGGGGGGGTCAACACTGGACCTCGGTTCTGCGCCATTCTCATCCTTTTTCGGCTCGGATTGTCATCTCGCCATTCTGGGTTCTGGTTCTTAGAGGAAGGTTGGTTTTGCGCCAAGGCGTATTCCTCAGCAGTTATAAATTTCAGAGATCTGTCGTTTACCTCACTAAAGGTGGTGACAGCATGTTTGATCAAACTGTCTCGGAACCTGTCATGTTTGAGACCAGAGATGACAGCTGCAATGCCCACAGCTTGGTCAAAGGAATTAACCTCCAACACCGCATCATTGAACCTGCTCATGTAGTTCTTTAGGGACTCTCCATCCCTCTGTTTAACTCGCATCAATTCGGTAGTAGTTTTCCTAATCAACCTTCTACTGGAAAACTT